CCTCCTATTTGAAAAATAGAGCCGTATCGGTCACCTCTCCCCTCCACATCCCCCTCATTCTCGCCGATTTCTAGAAGGCCCAAAAACCATCCTTCGGCGAGAGGAAAGGAAGAACTGAAGGCATCGGGAGGCCACTCAGCTGGGCGATCTTTAGTTCCATCTGTTGATGAGGTCGTTGGCATCCACCACCAGGATCGGTACCGTTGCCGTCTTGATCAAGCGCACCATCTCGTTGGTGACCACCCTCAGTTCAACCACCCGTCGACGTTCAGCTCTGCTGGGCTGTTCTTGACACCGCTGCCGCCGTCGACGGTCCCGTGGAGGATGATCTGCAGCGAGTGGATGGCCTCCATCTTGTAGTCCTTCCACGGTGAGCTCCTCATCTTCACCGCCTCGAGGAAGGCCTTGAAGGAGGACCGAGGGTGCATCCTCTTCCCACCGCCGTTGCCGTCGTCGCCGTCCACCTGACTCTGCGCCACCCCACTGGATCTCTGTGGCAGCGTGAGACCTGAACCAGAAGAGGATGTCCCCAGAGTTGATCCTGGCGGAAGCCATTCCGCAGACAGCCTCCCCGAGCTACATCGCCCCTGGGTACCCCACGTCGCGTAGGCTATCCGTGCTCAGGCCGGTGAAGTCCGCGTGGTACTTGCAGAGCCACTCGGCGATGTCCCGCACCTGGGCCTCCGTCGGCGCCTGCCCGATCCTCCAGAACCTGCCACTGTGGAGGAGGACGGTGCTGTTGCACCTGACCAGATCCATGACGCTGGGGCTCCGGGAGACGATCCCGAGCGAGGCGTCTCGGAGCAGCCTGTCGCAGAGCAGCGCCTGTGTCCTCAGGATGCTCTTCTCTCTCACCTGCCTCTCCAGGACGAGCTCCTTGTTCACGACGTAGATGGCGACCACCTGGGGGATGCATGGTGGTAGACAATGTGTCCCCACAGCCAGCTTCTCCCCTAACTCTCCGCCTCACTCCTGCTGCCGCTGCCTCTGCCGCCATCCTCACCATGGGATGAGTCCCCGTCTCCTCAACGTGTACTGAATGCAATACGAGCCTCCTCTTATTGTGTAGAAATGAGGATGAAGCTCATTGAGACATGTTCCACCTCCATTGAATTCGTCTCAGTCTGGAGATTTGAACGCTGAACTTCGGCTTTGGTAGGTGACAGTCAATAGAGACACTTTATTGACCCACCTCATCAATTTCTAGACTTTGCAACATAACTTAAAGATTAATTATATCCAAAAAGAGCCTTTGATGCCATAGACATCATATGATAATTCTTCAAACAACCAAAAACTTCAACAATCACCACTATAACTCTATTTCCTATTTTAAACATGATTATTATTTGAATAAGTGAGATTTTATGTAATTTTAAAATTTGAAGTTATTCTTTAATCGCTTACATAATAATTGTCAAACAGAACTCTATTTTTGATCCAAACACGTTTGTCGAGCAGAACTCTATTTCTACCCAAATTTTTCTTTTTCATACATTTTTAAATAAATTTCATCTTCATTGTTTAGTTTAAAAATCATAAAAAATCATATTCTTTGAGAAAAAATCTGTAATTTTACCTGATATTAGCTTACATCTATGTGATCAATTGAAAATTCTTAATATTTTTACAGTCTTTTATAAAATTATAATTGATGTATTTTTAATGAAATACTTTAAAAAAATTAAAAAATAATGTTTTCTAGTTTATAAGTTTAAATTTACGTGATTTATTATACAATAGTTAAATCACATCATCTATTTTTTCTCTTAACTTTGTTACTTTATTTCGAATATCTAACAATCAACATTTATCTGTCATTTCTTGTGACAATAATTATGGATATTGTTATTAGTTTTCAATGTAGATCTCATTTGACTTTTATTTCTCAAAAAATGATTTTCTCTTATTGAGTCATCCTTTGACAACAAGACCCTCATATTATTATTCTTTTAAACCAGCATTAGTCATATATTTATCCATTAACTCTTTCAAAAGTAAAGAATATTTCACATCTTTAATGGAGAGAAAATCCTTATCATATAATGCAATTCTTGAAATTGTTTATATGTTGATGGTCACAAATAAAGAAAGAATAAAGCTTGATCTTCATCCTCAATTATATCTCATTATTTCCTAAATAAAATATAATATAATTAATTTCATCAAGATGAGATTTTTAGTGTACTTAATTTTTGAGGGAATTAGTTATACACAACGATTCCAATTTAAGTCATAGTCTTTTCATGAATGACCTGTCACAACACCTCATTTATTTAACTCAATTGAATCACAATTAATGCTTCATCTAAATCTTCCTTCTTTTACATAGATATGAGTAAACATTTTGTCTTTCTCAAGTAGTGCCTTCTATAACCCTTGATGAGTCAAGATAACTTTCATCTTGACTGGTCATATTTTAAATTGATCTTTGAGTCAAACTTTACAATATTACACTTTGGATACATCCTGTGCTCTCCAAAATACAATATTTAGACATCCAGCAATGCTCTGATATCAATTTATTGGGAAATAGGATGAATTTGATGGCCTTAATATAATAATGAAAGAATAGGCACGGGAGTAACAATCTAGGAAACAGTAGATATTCAAGAAGAAGTGAGAAGAATGGCACATGAATATAATTTTATAGAACATAGAGGCTGATACACCTTCTCCCGTCCACTAAAATGAGAGGAACATAGTTATTATGACTGAAGAAATAAGGTAAAAATAACAGAGGAGAATACAACTCACAGCCAGGGGCATAGAGGAGGTGACTCCAGATCCCCATTTTTTATCGCTGGAGAAGGAGGGTCTTCGTCTTTTTCTCGGGAGGAGGTGAACCAGTTACAGGGGCATAGAGGAGGTAACTTGGGCCCCTTTTTCAATTGTGTTCCATACAACGGGACAGGACTAGTTTCAGATACAAAATCTGTCCTCAAAATAAAACATAAGTGTCCAGGTGGACTTAGAACCCGCACATGCGCCGCGCCACGCCTGCCTGTGGTGCGTGGTGTGCTGGTGCCAGGGTCCAGGGTCCAGGGTCTGTCCCCAGCGTTTGCATCACCGTTAATCTCGTCGGTCAGTTCTTTCAGTCTTGATCCAATATTAGTGAGTGACGATCAAGGCAACGCTGATTTTCCCATCCTTATTTCTTTTGTATGTGCTTGCTGACATTTATCGCCCATTTCACAGCATTCTCTCTCCGGCCTTTCTTAGTCAACTGCACGTGCTCCGAGATCGTTGACTCGGCCACTCTAGTTGGAGCCGGGCCCGAGCCCAGGAAATGTAGTGCGTTCTTTCATGGCTTTCTCATCCTAGACCTGACGTGTTCTTCAGGTAGTTGTATATACTTTGTGGGTACCAATTACTCCCAGTCGACGCGCCTATCCCGGAACTTTGTCCGTAAGTTTAGAGAATGAACCCCCTGGTCCCCTCCATGATCGATACCTTCGGAAAGATGAGGGAACCCCAGCTCTTGACAATCTTTTTCTAATTCGCCGTTGAAGAATTCGCACCCTTTGATGATTGCATGCATGGTCGCACTCTTGAGTCAAATCGTACCGGCTTCGAGTCATATCTTGCGAGGGAATTCACCGAACTTTTCGTCATCTCTGACTATTTTCCAAGTAAGATGGTTCCTCAACTTCGACTTGGTCAGTCCTGATGCACGTCGGAGCTTGTTGTATTGGTTTAGTCCATTCGGCCTGCGCGAGCTGGAATGAGTTGTGACTGACGAGTTGCTTACCCTGCCTTCCTGTCTGACTGCTCAAACTCTTTATTGCTTGTTCACGCAATTTTTAAATGTGTTTATGCTCTCTCTTTCTCTCTCTCTTCAATGCTCTAAGAAGAGTTTGTGAATGCTTTGCCCCTGTAACTGGTTCAGATAGATGGGCGAAGTGGCTTGGGGTTCCTCCTCGAGGTAGGGACGGAGTTGATTACCTTGCCTTCCTGTATGACATGTCAAACTCTTTCTTGCCGGTCAACTAGCCCATTAAACATTAAATGTGTTTATGCACTCTCTCTCTCTTCTCAATATCTCGGGAGAGTTTGTGAACTATTTGCCCTGATAAGTGGTTCAGATAGAGTAGCGCAGGGGGTAGGGATTCCTCCTCGAGGTAGGGACGGAAGGGTGCAATACCGCAGGGCTTCCCACTGGATGCCGGCGGCGTTAGGTCAACTCCTCTGAATCTGATTGGCTTGCGACTCCGTAACCATTGAAGGAAGGATCCGGTGGTTGAGCCACCTACGGGACAGCTGGCCTGGTTTATGGAGAGAGAAGAGGGAGGGGCGGGGTGGGGGGCGCATTGGAGAGAGCCAGCGGGCCATGGATTGCCGCACATGGTCTTCAAGGCAATAAATTGTTAGCGGATTGATGAATTTGAGGTGCGACGACCGACGGTCGAAGTCTGGCGGCCGACTCAAGTCATGGCCATTTGGGGATTTTACATCTTTAGCAGTCCGTATTTCAATCTCAACTCCGGCCCTCGGAAAAGTCACCCGTTGATCTGTGATGTTGTGGTCATCCATACTTGAGGGGGAAGTCATCCAATAATTTCCCTTTTTTTCTAGACATGACCGCAAACTAAAGGCTTTGTATAAAAATAAGTCAACGCAGCATACCTTTTCCAAAGTCCGTCACCGGGGTTCAATAGGGTTCGACCCATAACATAAGACCTTAGTTTCCTATCCCCCTCGCTCTCTCTCTCTCTCTCTCTCTCTCTCTCTCTCTCACTCTCGCTCGCTCCATCTATCTCTTAATCTATATATCTATCTATCTATCTATCTGTCTATCTAGGAGAGAGAAAAGGATCTGGAGGGCTCTCTTCCTTACAAGTACGTGAAAACTGTTGTACAGTTCAAATAAATGAGTGTAATTTCGGGCGAGCCATCACCCAGACGGCGGCGGTAGGATCTCAGAGATGGATCCCTTAGAGACCAGGGAGACGCCCTCCGTCTTCCCACCTTTCGTTCTCTCCGTTCTCCCCCCCTCCTCCTCAGACGATTGTGCAGCCTGGCGCGTATTCCATAAAGATGAGGGCATCCCCTCTGCAGCGCTCGCAGCAGGGTTCCAGATCTTCCGGCTTGGGTTTCGACTCCTCTTTCTTGTGCGACTCGACGCTGTCAATCAGCGCCGGCCGCCGGACCTTCCTGAGCTGGTGAGCGACGCAAACCGGGTCGACCTCCCCGACCACCGTTACCGTGCCCTTCTCGACGTCGAGCTTTATCTCGTCAATCCCTGCCATCATCGCCGCCACAATCTTGTTTAAAATATCAACCCTCGAATGATTGGGCGTGGGGAGGGAGGGTCAAAGGTTGGGGAAAGGGAGGGCCCTCACCTTCGAGCTTGGCAATGGCCTTGAGGATGGCCGTCTTGCACTTGCCGCAGTATATGGAGATCTTGAAGACCATCTTCTGAGCTTGCGCGATCCCCGACAACGGAGGACCAGGGGAACCAACCACAAGGTTTTCCCAGGTCAGCCGACACACGCGAGTGAGTTTCCTTGAATTGACGGCAAAAGGGCAAATAACACTGCTTTGGAATGGTGCGCTCGGCTTACCTTCATGGCTGCCTCCCGCCGTAATTTACACCACGCAGAGAAGATGAGGACAGTCGCGCAGAACAAGCTATCTCTGCCTTTTGCTCTGGCTCTTGAGGCTTGTGCAGAACAGGCGATCTTTCTCTCTCTGTCTCTCTCGCTCTTGAGTTGGAGCAAGGTTCTTCCTCCTGACTCTCTCTCCATGGGTTATATAGAACCTGGAGGGAGGACAGACCCTCATGTCATCTAGGGAGTCCATGTTCCGGAGGGGACCTGAGGAGAGGTCGAAATCAGTGCTTGATTGAATAATTGTAATCTTCCCTTACGGTTGGTGTGTTTTCGTATCGTTACCTGCTCCCACCGAACTACGACTATGTCCTCGTCGCCGATCCTGACGTGTCTACTTCCAGTTGTTAAGGTCCCGGTGGAACCATAATCAATCGTCGGTTCAAAGCAAAACGAAGGCAGGATCCGTTCGACGCGCCCCGTCAATTTCAGCGCTGTTACCTGTGTCCCGGCAACGACGTTGAAAATTCCATGCACGAGAACTACGCGTTAAGAATTGTCAACGAGGATACAAGGCCGGATCATCATCTGCCCACATCGGAGAGAGAGATTGTATGAAATTATCTTAGAGAAAAGAATATTGAGCTGTATACCGAAGCACGTGCTACCACCATCCAATATGCCATTTTTCGCCTACGAACCCGGCTAACGTTCAATGACGTCTATCTCGGTGAGAAAACAGGGGTATAGCTCCTACAAAGTCAAAGACCCACCCGCGTAGAGTTCCATCCCGCGGGAGTGTGGAAACCTGTGTTATGTCAACGACGGCGGTCCCAAACCCATCTCTCTCTCTCTTTCTCTCTCTCATATACTCCCCTTCCTCACCGACGCAGGTCAAAGAACCGAGTTCTTTCGTTTGTTCTCCTCTCCTCCCCGCCAACGCGTCCCCACCAGTGCGGCTTCCCCCACCACCACTACTACTACTACTCTTACACTGTCAATGTCATCATCTCTACCACTTGCTTAACAGTCCATCGATAAAATAAGTGATGGCGATGGGGAATCTCTACCAGGCCTGCTAACGCTCGTTGACCGAGAAAATTACATAGGTTCCGATGAGAGCTGTACGGATAAATTTGCGGAGAACGCGTTGCCCTGGCGATGTCCAGAACTGTTCAGCGTTCTCTGCTGAGGTCGGCCTCGGCGAACAACAGGCCACGAAGTCCCTGACAAAAGGACCGAAGACGTAAGGGTTTGCTTAACCTGATGGATCCCCGCTCGGGGGACGCTCAGCTCCCTTCAAGTCAACGCGAGTTGTCGACGAGTACTTTGTGACGTCGACTCGACGTCGACATAAAAGGACGGCGAGAGGGACGAAGATTTGACGAACTCCCTTCAGCCGGATTGAACATAGCAAAGGTGGGCTCCACCCAACGGTTCATTGGCGAAAAGTTTCCTTTCTAGAGCCATCATAGCTCGCTGCCTCTCTCTCTCGGCAAGGAGCGGCCTCCTCGTCACATCTGTAGCAAAGTTTTTCAAGAAAAAAGGAGAAAAAAAACACATACACCCCCCACTACCCCTTTCCCTTGAGATGGATGAAGATGCTCTCATATGAGGGAATCATAATTAAAAGGAGGAAAGAAAATGTCATGAGCAGCAAAACTTGAGAAGAGGATGGCTTGGACGAGTTGTGACCAACTCATGTTGTGGAGGTTGAAGTAACATCTTGAATCATCAAAAAATGTGTTTTAATGATTGTCACTTCACTCTAAATTTACAGATTGAAGATGACAAATCCCTTGAGTCCACAAGGGGTTGATACTAAATCCATGAGATTATCAAGAATTGGGTTCCCTTAGTCTATAGGGGTGCTGGAGTCCACTAGCAGAAGACACACATAAAGTTGTATTAATAAAAAAATAGTATACCTTTGAGGCTACATGGGGTGCCTTTAAATAGGCTGAAGAGTCTTGATTTGGCACCAAGATTTGAATTTTTTAAATGAAATTTAAATTTGAAATCAAATTTTGAATGAAATTTAAATTTCAAAAATAAAATCTAAAATAAGAAATGAAATTTAAATTTCAAACAAAAAATAGATTTTAGATGAAATTTGAATTTCAAATGAAAATGAAATTTCGTATGAAGTTTGAATTTAAAATGAAAATTTCAATTTCAAATGAAAATTTGAATTTTAGATGAAATTTGAATATCAAACGAAAATTTGAATTTTGGATGAAATTTAAAAACTAATAAAAATAGAGATATGGGCCTAATTTCGTAATTGGGCTAGCTGCAACTAAAGTGAACTTCATGCTGCAATAGTAATAGACTTCTAGGTGCATCAATAGTGGGCTTCAAGCTTCTTCAATAGTAGGCTCAGGCTTTGAATTGCATTGAACTTTCTTTCTTGAAAATGACTCATCTTGGAGTCTTTAACTCGCTCTCGATAATACTCATAGATATTTGTATCATTGAATGTAGATGAGATTCTCATTGTCTTTGGTAAGTCAATGACATATGCATTGTGATTAATCTTTTGAATGATTTTAAATAAGATCATACTTTTGTGAACTATGTTTGTGATAATTTACTATTATCAATCATTATTTTCTTAAGTATATCATAACTAAATCACTAACTTTAAAAAAAATTCTTATTATTTTTCTATCTATCTTTTCCTTGTAGTTTGAATAATTAGTTGTAGGATGATTATTCACATTCTCATGTATTGTTTTGATGTATTATGTCATATTATTTAACCAAATTATTATTAGGTTTTGTAGGTACTTCAATCAAGTCAAGAGGGACTTTTGGTGGAAAACAATAGACAATAGAAAATAAAGAGTAATTTGTAAACTGATTTATCATAGAATTATATGCAAGTTCTACTTGAGCTGAAACAAGATTATATTGTCTTAGTCTGTCTCCTAAAATATAACGGCTTAAATTACCAAGTGTCGTATTAATCACTTCTCTTCGATCATTAGTTTGTGGATGACTCATAGTACCAAAGTTTAGGCATGAGTCAAATATGTTCGAAACAATACATTAGAAATGAGACAGAAGTTTTGAGTCTCTATCAAATGTAATAATCTCAAGCACCCTATGCAAATAAAATATTTTCTTAAAAAATAAATTTGTTATTTGAACGACATCATTAATCTTCTTAAAAAATATTTTTTTATTTCCTTAGGTCAATGAATTTTGAATAAAATTTGAATTTTGAATGAAATTAAAATTCGGATGAAATTTAAAAAACAATAAAAATAGAGATTGGGCCTAATTTCGCAATTAGCCAACTGCAATTAAAGTGGATTTCAAGCTGCAACATTAATAGGCTTCTAGGTGCATCAATAGTAGGCTTCAGGCTTCTTCAGTAGTGGGCTTATTTTATCCAGCCTAGAAATGTAGTTTTTAAGATCAACCTCATCTCCCAAGTTCATCTTCGCAATGCACACCTGAACATGGCAGCAAGAAACATCACATTTTAAGGGACAATTAAGCCCCCTGCCCTCCAACAAATACGAGGACGAACTGGTAAGTCAGAATGAATAAATGCCCATCTCTCTCCCTCTCTATGCTGCCGCTGCCCCACCACCAACCATCGTTCTCGATTGCTTACCTGAAAGATGAGCCACTTCTGTTCGATGTGGAAAGTTTTCAGTTGACTCTACCAGGACGTAGAAGAGCTGGGTCCAGCGTATCAGCTCAATTGGTTGCCATGACCACCTTCACGTTCATGATCTGTTCAAAAGCATCCATCTGAGAAAAACGAGAGAGCTTCACGTCGCCAATCAGTCCAAAATATCACGTTTGAATTACCCAAAAGTGTATTAAAGGCATTAAGCCCAATCAAAGAATGTGTACGTGAGTCTCCGCTGAGTTATAACGGCTGGATTAGGAGATAAGTGGGAACGTGGGTTCCACAGATCGTAACTGTCTCTAGCGAACGTTACTCTCTCTCTCTCTCCTATAAATATGCTTCATGTGTTTGCCGAAACTTGGAGAGAATTTCTGTTGTGTTCTTGAAAATCCTAGTCTCGATTCTTCTTCTTCTCTCAAACGATCCTCGGGCAAGTTTTTGCTCTCAACATATGCGGCACCAACAAGACGAAATTAGAAATATGATCCACCAGCGTGTTGGATCGCCTGTGAAGAGCCACCCGCGCCGTCTTCAGGAGTTCCCTATTGACGGTGCTCAGGATCCACACGTACGGTTTGATCGCCTGGATGACCACACGATGGCGTTGTTTTGGTCGATCATCTCCAGGAAATTGCCAACAACGAGCGTTCACCGCAGCTTACTGCCTCAGGTTCTTCTGCTCGTTCTTGATGCACTCCTCCCACATCTCGACGAACTCCAGCTGGTGCCGCAGCACCTTGAGGTGCCCGTAGAGATCCTCCTCGGCAAGGGGGGAGGTGAAGCCCAGCCGGGGCTCACCAGACTGCTCGGACGCGGCCGATATCTCCGAACTACTGACGGACGGGACAAAGACGAAGACGAAGACGAAGACGACGACGACTGGCTTCTTTCTTTCTGGCCCCCAGGAGAGAAGAAGGCGCCACTTTTTCAAATCGCGGGCTGGGCCCACCGTCTCGCTAACGGGCTGGCCCAGTTTCATTTCGGCGTCAAAATTGGCCCAATCCCACGGAAGAAGCCAGTTCCAGAAGAGCACGACGAATCGTCGAGGGACGCAATCTCGTTGAGCCATAACCTAGTCAACTCATCGGTCAACTCCAAATCGTTCTGCGTGGAGGGAGAGAGAGGGATCGATCATCATCATCTTATTACATAGAACATATATGATCGGCAACGGTGGCGAGGTCAGGGGTTCACTGCTGGAGGGCGGCGCATCCGAGGAC